CATCATATGGGAGATTTAAGTTGAATCCTGATACCAATTGGGTTCGAATTCTGGGGGACGCATCAGAAATCCGTGAGGGGTCAGATGGGCCTAGGCCCTTCCAAAGTGGACAGTACGTACGATATGATGACGATTTCAGCGCAAGGTCGGGTCGTTACACTTGTATAATCCCTAAATCAGAAATTTGTTGGAAAATGCTATTCTTGTGAAGGAATGCTCAAACTTTGTATTGTTGACAAATCTTTTAATAATAAAGTGAATGTTGCTTATATCGTTGATTTATTTTCATTATGGCATGCTAGATTAGGTCACATAGGTAAAAGTGCTATGAAAATAATGTTGAAATGTGACTTAATTTCATACGATGAAAATGATGCATTTAAATGTCAAAATTGTATAGAATCTAAAATGACTAAAAAACCATATCAGAGTGTCAATAGGACTTCTAGTATATTAGAATTAATTCATACTGACATATGTGAATTGAATGGCATGTTAACTAGAGGTGGTAATATGTATTTCATTACTTTTATTGATGATCACTCTAGATATACGTATATTTATTTGATGAAGCATAAACATGAAACATTTGATATGTTTCAGGTATATAAAAATGAAGTTGAAAATCACCTAAGTAAGAAAATAAAGACTCTAAGAAGTGATAGAGGATGTGAGTACTTTCAAAGTGATTTTAACTCTTTTTGTGAACAACAATGCATTGTTTATTAATGTTCTGCACTTATGACATCTGAACAAAATGGTTTGACTGAAAGAAAAATAGAATTTTAGTTGAAATGATTAATGACATGTTGATTTTTACTAAGTTGACATTTAATTTATGGGGTGAAGCGTTGTTGAGTGCATGTAGGATATTAAATAGGATTCCTTCTAAATTTAAGGTTTCTCCTTACGAATTGTGGAAAAGAAGAAAATCGAACATTTGATATTTCAAAGTGTGGTGGTGCTTGCTTATTGTAAGAACACGAACACTAACACTAACAGGACCAAATTAGGTCCAAGAGGCATCAAATGTGCATTTGTTGGATATACTAACAATAGCAAATCTTATCGATTGTTGAATTTGGAGTCCAATGTGATTACTGAATCCAGTGGTGTAAAATTCTTCAAAAATTCACTATCTTTGGATAATGAATTAAGGAAAATTAATAACGAAATTCTAAACTCTAGCGAAACACAAGATGAAATATCTTCTAAAGATGTTGATGAATCTAGTGAAACTCGAAGGAGCAAAAGAACTCGAATTGAGAAGTCGGATGAAATTGATCCAAAAAATGCAGTAAAGATGAAATGGATTCAATAATGTCTAACAATACTTGAGAACTTGTTGATTTACCACCCGGATCCAAACATATTGGATGTAAATGAGTGTTTAGAAGAAAATATAATGCTGATGGTTCTTTTAATACCTTTAAGTTTAGACTAGTAGCTAAAGGTTATCGACAAAAAGAAAGAATAGACTATTTTGATACTTATGCACGGGTAGCTAGAATAACATCAATTAGGATATTATTCGCATTAGCTTCGATATATGACTTGCATGTTCATCAAGTTGATGTTAAAATGACATTCTTGAACGGGGATCTCGATGATGAGATTTATATGGAATAACCGAAGGGTTTGTTCTACCCGAAAATGAACGTAAGGTGTGCAAATTAGTTAAGTCATTATACAGATTGAATCAAGCACCTAGAAATTGCATGAGAAATTTGACTTAGCTATTATATCATTTGGTTTTAAAAATAATAGTGTAGATAAATGTTTAT